CCCCCCCCTTAGAATTAAAAGACAGTTTATATAGAAGTGAAGGGAAAGAAAAGTTAAATCTAAGATGGGATCTAAGTGAGGTCACGAGGAAGAAAGTTCTAGAAGCCTTTCTCTAGAAAAATGGGGGTAAAGGTTTTATAATAGTCTCACTACGCAACCTCAACCATCATAGTCCTCTAAGTTTAGGCAGGAACTGGGCGTGGTGGCACGCATGCCCTTAATTGAGTTCCAGCACTCAGCAGGCAGGAGCACGCGGATCTCTTGTGAGTTCTGAGGCCAGCCTGGTGTACATAGTGAGTTCCAGGTCAGCTGGGGCTACAGGAGACCCTGTCTCAAAAAGACCAAAAAGGGGGCTGGAGAGATGGTTCAGTGGTTAAGAACACCAGTTGTTCCTGCAGAAGACCCAGGTTTGAATCCCAGCACCCACATGGCAGCTAGCAACTGTCTGTAACTCCAGTTCCAGGGGATCCGAATGCCTCTTCTGTCCTCTGTGGGCATTGCATGACATGGGTGCACTTACCTACATGCAGGCAATACACTCATACACATAAAATAAAAATAACAAAAAAAAAAAGAAAGAAAAAAGAAGAGGGCCTCTTGCTAGAAAAAGGATTTTGGTCTGAGGTCAAAGGATGTCTATTAATTCCCTGATGGTGGAATTCTGTATTAAAATAACGTTATGAGTGTTTACTAAGCACCATACCACTCAAATGTTGATTTCGCCATTTTTCTTTTCAGAAGTACAGCATGAATTAAGAACATTTTGAAATGGGTCCTAGTGATTAGATAGCCAGAGAAGACCTGAAACTGGACCTTGGGAAATGTAAATGATTCAAAAAGAAGCTTTTGGAAGCACTGAAGCTTGGGAAATTTTAAATGAAGGGTCTATCTTAAAATGAAAGCACTAAGATTTACCAGCTCTATGGCAAAGATACATACTTTACTTCCTAACAATTTGCCTCTCATTATTTAACAATCTAAAATTAAGATTATTCTGACAAAGAGACATAGGAACAAAAATCAATGATTCTCTTTCACTTTGCCAAGGCTTATCTGACAAACATTTTTGCAAAACTAGTGAAACAAAAATGTTTCATTCTTCAACACTGATTTTTCATTCTTAGCTGATTTATCATGGAAAAAAAAAAAGAGACAGTCTTGAACTGTACCCCAGGCTGGCTTTGAACTCTTGATCTTCCTTTCTCAGCTTCCTAAGTGTTGTGATTACAAGTATACCCCACCGCACCTACCCCGCAAAAATGTTTTAATTGAATCATTTACATTTAAAATAAATCATGTACCTTTCAAAGTTTTGCTTAATTTACATTTATGTTGATCCCAGAGGGAAAAAAATTAATTTTATGCATATAGCCTTATAGTCTTGTTTTTATTAATTGTACAAGTATCCTTATATTTGTAGACAAGTGCACCTCTCACCACTCATCAAAAAAGCTTCTTTAGAAGTTCCACAAATGATCTAATGCAGAGAATAAGTGACTGTGAGGTGCCCAGCCCTCGGTGACACATCTGTAATGCAACCTCTACACCTAAGGCTCAGGAAAAATAGCAGAACAGGGAGAAGAAAGAATATGAGTGCATCTCCTAACTCTCAACATCAAAGCTTCCTCACTCAACAGATGGTGATCAAGCCAGAAAGCCACAACCGACCGAAAGGCAGAGAATAAGAGACTACAGACCATGCCTGAATAGCACACCTTTATCTAACTCTGCCATCCAAGGCTCAGGGACCATTGGAGAAGGGCCAGTGGGGGGGGGGGGATATATGAGCCCGAGGTGGTCAGTGACACACGTTAACTCACAGCAATGATAACAGCATGCACAAGACCTATGCAAGCTCAAGCCAGACAAAATCCCAAATAGAAGTGGGAAAGGGGGAAAAGTTAAAACCTTAGTTGAGGAACTATTGGCCACCGATAACTACTGGGAGAAGGAGAGCAGGTTTTTGTTAAGGGTGTGACGATGGATGGGTTAACCCAGGGACCATTGGAGAAGGGCCAGGGGGGGGGGGGGGATTATATGAGCCCGAGGTGGTCAGTGACACACGTTAACTCACAGCAATGATAACAGCATGCACAAGACCTATGCAAGCTCAAGCCAGACAAAATCCCAAATAGAAGTGGGAAAGGGGGAAAAGTTAAAACCTTAGTTGAGGAACTATTGGCCACCGATAACTACTGGGAGAAGGAGAGCAGGTTTTTGTTAAGGGTGTGACGATGGATGGGTTAACCAGGCTCCAGTGAATGACAACACACTGATCTAAATATGTTTGAAATAATGCAATGAAAAATAGAAACAGAGAAAGAAACCAACTGCCATTTTACATGTGATATCCAGCATTGGCTGTTGGAGACATTCCTGCTTCCTTCTCAAAAGTCTTGGCTCCTTGTCAAAATCAGTTGGCGAGTCAGTTTATGTCAGATAAATTCTTAAACAACACTGAGAGTCGACTCTAAGCCTCTTGTTATTACAGTTAAAAATGGGTACTCTGGTAAATTTAATATACATTTTGCCAAAATTTTTAAAAAATTCAAACCTTGCTGTCTTGTTTGTATATTTTTTGAATTTTTTACTTCCGTTTTTTGGTTAGTTATTAATGATGGCAATTGTCTTACCTAGTTCTCCCTGAAGCTAAAATACAAAGAAATCCTCATTTGTAATCAGAAAAATAATTTCTGAACAATTTCATTTCCTCCTTAGGCGGGTTCAAATACCAACCACCACATGCCCACTACATTCCGTATAAGGTGAACTTAGTGTCTGCCTTGCTTTGAAATAGTTCCCAGAAAATTAGCACAACAAAATTCTCTGGTAACCTGTTATACACATGTCTTCAAGGAGTCAAGAGTTCACTGCCACCCCAGACCATCACAGGAAAGTGAATTCTGCATTAACGCTAGTGACACGTTTCTATGAATGTTTCCCAGTGTAGCCAGGTGTTATGTACACACCTACTATAACCTTGGCACTTGGGAGGTAGAAGCAGGTAGATCTCTGCGCGTTCCAGGTCAACCGGGTCTGCCTAGGGAGTTCCAAGCCAGCCAATGTCACATAGTGATACTCTGTCTCAAAAACAAAACAAAACAAAATTCTCAGTGCGTAGGAGTTATGACTGTGGTATGTACTATTAAATCTGTAATAGTATTATGTCTAAAAAACTGCACAAACCTTCACATTAAAATGTTTTATGCTAAAAATGTTAATGACCACGTGAGCCTTCAGAGAGTCATAGTCCTTATATAGCAGAGGGTCTGGCATCGATGGTGTTGGGTGCCAGTTGGTCAAGTGGTAGGTGCTTGTCTTAGTTGATGTTTTCATTATTGTGACAAAATACCTGACAAAAGCCCCTTAAGGACAAAGGGGATTTTTTGGCTCACAGTTTGGCAGAATGGAGAGCTCCAGCACTCACAGGGAAAGCTAGCTGATCTAGGACAATACCTGATCTTCAGAGGAAGATTCCAGCTAGAACCTCCGGCCCTAAGTGTCAGTCCCACAAAGGAAAAGGACACCTCAGCCCTTCGAGAACTTGGTCCTCTACTGAACAGTGCAGATGCACCACTGAAAGAAGAAAAAGGAAAGGTGATTAGAATTTTAAAAATAAAAAAATACAAAAGAAAGAGAGTCAACCAATGAACCAACTCCAGATGCATACACTAATCCCATAATAATGGCACCTATTGAAAATGACAGAAGAACTACTAGCAAAGATTTCAAAAGGATGATGGATGGTAAATATGTTCACACAGTTCAAAGACACATGAACAGAACGAGGAAGTCAGTCCGAGGTATGAAAACAGAGATAGAACTGCTGAAGGAAACACAAAATGAAGTGATGTTGGAAATGAAAATCTCTGTAAGCCAAATAAGACCCTCAGTGGCAAACCTCACCAATAGCAGATCACGTGGAAAACAGAGAGTCAGGGCTGAAGACAAGGCAGAGGAAGTGGATCATTTAGTAAAGCTGAACCATAAAAAGAAATGTGAACAGAAAGTGGGAGAGCGCAGGTCGCCGTGAAAGGCCTAATCATTGCGTTGTGGGCATAGAAGAAGAAGACCCACATAGTGAAGACACGGGAAACATTTTCAAGAAAACTGGGCAAGAAAATTTCCCAGTCCTGTAGAGAGATGCATATCCAGATACAAGAGGCCTACAGAATTCCATGTAGGACCTTTAGAGAAACTTCCCACAACTTATGATAGGTAAAGCATTAATATCACAGAATACAGAAAGGGTTTTAAAAGCTTTAAGAGAGAAAGATCAAATCACTTACAAGGGCGGGCCCATCAGAATAATACCTCATTATTCTACAGGAACTTTAAAAATATTTTATTTATTTTTATTTTATGTATGAGTGTTTTGTCTGTGTGATATAAGTACACCACATGCATTCAGTGCTTACAGAAGTCAAAACAGGGTCATTGGATCCTCTGGAACTGGAGTTACA